GCGCCCCCTTGGATGTTGATTCCATAAAACAGCCGTTGGTGGTAAGGAGCTGCTCGAGTGGAACTTAGGTCTCACCAGTGGAATGATGATGGTTTAGTACAATGTGCGTGACATGGTGGGTTTTAGCTATGAAGATTAGAACTGGAGGGGGTAAGAAATGTAGTTTGTCTGAGTACTTTCTATAGAAATAGCAATATAGAAGCGAGTGACTGGCAATATTTCGTCTGTGAGAAAAAGGTTGGAGGGTGAAAATAATTCATCACCCACAAGGACAAGGATACAATTTCGCACTCTATGATGATTGGAACTAGATAGTTACTCTACTCACTTTCCAGTTTACATATACTTTAAAAATGGTCGGTTCATTGTACGACTCCAGCATCTGGCTATCTTTAAAAGCGTCAGGTCAGATCAAAAATGGAGTATTATTGTTATATCTGGTATAAAACTGCCCTGTCCTCACTTGCCTGTCTTGATAGAATTAAAAAAAAATGTCTACGCAGCCATGTGGTTGATGAATTATTTTCCACCTTACAACACCTTTCCCTTAGACGAAATGTAAGCGTCTCGCTATTTTCTCGCTATTCCTGTTACATTCTTCCGACCCACCACTCGTGAACTTTGTAACTGTGACCCTCCAAGCCACGTCCACATGGTTGAATCATTCTCATTCCCTTCGTATTCCATTAATAAGAAGTAAGTTCCGCTCAGATAGTTTTTTCCAAAGAACTGCTGCTTTGTGGAAAAAAACACAAAAAAAAATCTCCCAGCAGGTTCATTATTTAGATGATTCGGACTATTGTCCTCATCTTTGTCGTCATATTTATTACAACGTTTCGGCCGTTGTACGCTCCGGCCTTCTTCAGGTGGTTGGAATGTTGAACTTAACCCTTTATTTCGCTCACTGTGATAGACTGTTCTAGTTCCACGTGCCACCTGTTTAAAAGTTGCAATATGAGCTCTGGTAAAACATAAATGACAACAGCAAAAAATTGCAATATGGTAAAAATGAAGACATTAGGTTTATAATACCCAGAAATTCATACACAGTTTCCCTCAAGAACACATGGCACAGTGGATAAAGGCGTTGGTTAGATCCAGTGACAGGACCCAAAGAGTATGAATTCAATACTCGGTTAAGGCAGTGGAGAACTTTCAGAGGGAAATTAACAGGAGATAACTGATAACTGACATCCATTAACCACGTCACGTGGAACTAGAACAGTCTACCCCAGTGAGCGAAATAATGGGTTAAGTTCGACATTCCAAGCACCTGAAGAAGGCCGGAGCGTACAACGGCCGAAACGTCGTAATAAATATGGCGAAAAAGATGAGGACAATAGTCCGAATAATGTAAATAATGTACATAATACCTCATCTCAGAAATATAGACAGATCCCAGCAGGTTGTTTTCGCAATCACTACCATGTTAACATCTTCTAGGGGTAACTGTTATCTTTCCTACATGAAGGTCATCTTTTTGTCTTTTTTTACGCTCAGGCAACATCATACATTGGCTTTTGGGCCCAGTATTTGAGTAAATATTTGTAGGATCACTTCGTCGTGTTCTGGATTTATCTCATCCACAGTGTGTTACCTGGTGGAGAAGGCAGATGTCACCGGGAGGTAGATTTGTATTTTAGCTGCGACTAATGAGTCCTGCAATGTTTTGTCAAATAAAACTATAGAGAAAACATATGCAATCTACTCAGAACCACACAGTAGATAAAATCACTCAATGGAGTTTAAATATCGTTTGAATTATCCTAAATAAGATAGTTCACCCATATAGTATAGTTCTGTTATTACTGAGTAACATATTACAGCAAGGCCGCCCAACCGTTTCAAAATAGCTAGATATATTTCGGACATAACTTATATATCGATTTGCCCAGATATAAATACAGAAGTTTGGAGGTGAATCTGATGAAATAGTAAACATATAAATCAATTTAGAAAATTTTTATTTTTATAATGATCCGCAGATCAATCAATTTTCTGATAACACCGATTGATCGACGAAACATGTTAAAATAATTTTTCCAAATTATATTTTATATTTACGATATAAATGTTTATATGATACATGTATTTTGCTTTCAGATCAAAGATTAAAAACGGCATCAAACGAATGAACCATTTTGGCCTGAAAGAAAATGAACATTTTTTTCAAACTCTGTTGTCTGGCGCTGCACAATCACAAACGAATCTCTAAAAGTATAACAAAACCTACTTCCAGCAAAAACAACTAGCGAGACGTGAAAATGAAGAACGAAGGATGCTTCTTCTTTTATGTGCCGTGTCCCTTCAGGATGTAGGAGATCATGGTCCTCCACTATTTCCTGTCCTTTATATCACTGAATAAATTTACTACAAAACGTAAATATAAACCTAAGAAGTTGAGTCAATGTGTACAAATTACCCCACTGGATCTAGACTCTCATATGGACGCCATGTACGCTGACCAACTCGTTCGGAAATGTCAGATAATGATAGTTTAGAATTTAAGACATTTTTTTTATGTTTTTACTTCTTTTTTTTCTTCATAGATACAAATATTTAAGTAAATGCTGTTTATAATAAACAGTATTAACAACATTTACCGGCCTGAATGTCCGAGGAATTTTCATAGAAAATATGCGTCCTCCGACAGGAATCGAACCTGTATCCTATACAGAACCGTCATATAGCCTGACGTGCCTTAACCAATTGGGCCACAGAGGAGCATTCGGTTAGCAAGGTCGATTTTACTGTTTTTAAACACAATTCTCCATGATATTCTCTCATTCATTCATATCTGCTCAATGCTTATCCAAATGTAAAAAAAATGACGGCATACATTTTGAAATTATTTAAAACATTTTTTATGTTTATACGTTCTTTTTTTATAGATACAAATATTTAAGTAAATGCTCTGTTTATAATAATATAATTTATATAATTTAGAATCTAAACTATCATTATAGAGTTTGTATCAAATATA